TGAGCTGTGCCCGGGCTCTGCGGGGAGTGGGATTTAGAACCTCCCCCCCACATTTTTTGAGGTAACTTTGGGGTTCCCAAATCCCCTCCCCACCCCCCAGGGCTTTTCCACCTCTGCGCCGCTTCCAAGGATCCGTCCCCGGAGAGCTCCGAAGTTGGGGGGTCCTGAGGGGGGGTGGGGGGGGGGGTCCCCCATTTCCCCCCCCCAATTTTGGGTGTGGTCACTGCTGTGCCGAGCTGGGTCCGGCCTCTGCTGATCCCTCCCCCCGTTCCCGTTGCAGGATTTTCCCCTTTTTCCCAAATTTTGCTGTGCCAATAAATGCCTCCCCCAACTCCCCGTGGGTTTCCCTGTGGGATCCGGGGGAATTTGGGGATCCCAAAACTTTCGGGGGTGTCGGTGACGGCCCCCAGCCGGTGTGGGGAGGAACTGGGGTATGGGGGGGGCACTGGGAGACAAACGGGAAGGATTTGGGGGGCACTAGGAGCACTGGGGAGGGGGCGGGAAAGGACTGGGAGGGACATGGGGGTCACTGGGAACACTGGGAGGGGACAGAAATGGACTGGAAGGGATCAGGAATAGACTGGGGGGGACACGAGGGGCACTGGGAGCCACTGGAAAGGACACGGGGGGCACTGGGAGCACTGGTGTGGAACAGGAATAGACTGGGAGGGATACGAGAGGCACTGGGGGGGTCACTGGGAGGTCCCTGGGGGTTCACTGGGAGCACTGGGAGGTCCATGGGAGGCACTGGGAGCGAGCAGTGTGAGCGAGCACTGGGAGAACTGGGAGGGAGCGCTGGGGAGTGCACGGGGGACACTGAGGGCACCGAGAGGGAGCACTGGGGGTACTGGGGATGCCATAGTGGGGTCACTGGGAGCACAGGGAGGTCCATAGGGGGCACTGGGAGATCCATGGGAAGCACTGGGAGCACTGGGAGATCCATGGGGAGCATTGGGAAATCCATGGGAGGCACTGGGAGCACTGGGAGATCCATGGGGAGCACTGGGAGATCCATGGGGAGCATTGGGAAATCCATGGGAGGCACTGGGAGATCCATGGGAGGTACTGGGAGCACTGGGAGCGCCCCCGGCTGTCCCCACTGTCCCCCCGCTGCCGCCGGGTGTGGCCCCACCGCTCCCCCCGCGGCCATCGCCGCTTTAAGGCCGCGCCCTCGGCCCCGCCCCCG